TTCCCAGAACCTTTCATCCCAGNCAACCAAAAGCTCTATAAAGAAATGTTAGCCTTCAATCACATATTGGACCAACTGGACATAATTCACGTTCCCAGAACCTTTCATCCCAGAACAACAGACTATTAAAGCTTCTCTAATGTGCATAGAACATTTTCAAGGACAGATCATGTGTTAGGACACAAAACTAGCCTCAACNGAACAACAGATTATTAAAGCTTCTCTAATGTGCATAGAACATTTTCAAGGACAGATCATGTGTTAGGACACAAAACTAGCCTCAACAAAATTAAAGGGATTGAAATAATTCCAAGCATATTCTTTGACCACAATGCTTTGAAATTAGAAATCAACTGCCAAAAGAAAGCAGAAAAACAAATATGTGAAGATTAAACATTATGCTACTAAAAATGATCCGGATATAGAAGAAATAAACAGAGAGATCAAATGATACATACAGTCAAATGAGAATGACAATAAGATATGTCAAAATCTGGGTGATACAACAAAAGCAGTAATAAGAGAGAAGTTTATGTTATTACAGTCCTATGTCAAGAAACAATAAAATTCCCAAGTAAACAAGCTAACATTACAACTGTAAAAACGTGGGAAAAAAGCAGCCAGGAGTTAGCAGAAGAAAGGAAATAAATAAAAACTAGAGCAGAATTGAATGAAATAGAAGCAAAAGACTATACAAAAAATTAATGGAACAAAGAACTGGTTCCTTGAAAAGATTAATAAAATTGATAAACCACTGGAAAGACTCGCTAAGGAAAAAAGAGAAAAAAACTTAAAATCGGAAATGAAAGAGAAGTTACCACAGACTCCACTTTAATACAAAAGATCATATAAGCCTACTATGAGAGACTATATGGCACCACATTCAATAATCTAGAAGAAATGAGTAAGCTACTAGAAACATGAAACCTGCTAGACTGATTCAAGAAGAACTGAAAAATCTAAATAAACCTGTCAACAGTGAGGAACTTAATACAACCATCAAAACCTTCCCCAAAAGTCAAAGTCCAGCACAAGATGGTTTACTAGTGAATTCCACCAAACATTCAAAGAAGATTTAATACTTATGCTTCTCAAACTCCTCCAAAAAACTGAAAAAGAGGCAATACTTCCTAACACATTTTGTGAGGCCAGCATAACCCTGATACCAAAACCTGGCAGGGTAACACAGAAAATAAAACTACAGATCAATATGCTTGATGAATACTGAGGCAAAACTCCTAAAACAAATACTAGCAGTTTGAATTTAAAAAAAGTTCATTAAAAAATAGTACATTACAATCAAGTGGTGTTCATTCCAGGGGCACAAGGATGGTTCAACATATGAAAATCAATCAATGTAATACACTCCATTAAAAAAATGAAGGGTAAATATTATATGATCATATCAATAGATGCAACAAAAGCATTTGATGCCAAACTATATGGCTTGTATATATTAATGAATCTTTATTGCAACTTCTTAGATACCAGAAAGGAGGTCATCCACTCCAAGTTCTTTAATTCGTAGAATATGAAACTGATTGCTAGAGATTAATTGCTTAGAAGAACCAGTAATCAATTGTTAAACTAAATTAGATTCTAATTCTCTTATTTTTTCCCAACCTCATGATCAGACTACAGCATTTTCTTGAATTACTTCTGCTTACTTACATTTAGTTTTATATTATTGTAATCTGCTTATTTTTCATTGCTAATATAATTAAAATACAAATGTTATTTCAAAAATTTATTTTAAAATATTAATTTTATGTAGAATATGTAAAATATACTTAAGTATTATCCCATTTTTATGTTTGTCAGTTTTTCAGTTTTGAGTTAGAAGTATTTTACATATTATTTTGAGGGAAAATGAACAAAGGGCCCACCTTTGTGTCTTAATACTGTACTTAGATAAATATTTAATACATGGTAATGTATTAAATACATAATACATGGTAATATGCCTATTGCCATGAGCCTATATGAAAAAAAAAAAAGCATTTGACAGGATACAGCATCCATTTATGACTAAAAAAATATATAAAACGGATATAGAAGGAAAGTACTTCAATATAATAAAGGCCATAGATGACAAACCCTCAGTTAATATCATACTCCTAGTGAAAAATTGAAAGCTTTTCCTTTAAGATCAAGAGCAAGACAAGGATATCCTCTATCACCACTCTTATTTAACATAGTTCTGGAAGATCTAGCCAGAGCAAACATTCAGAGAAAGAAATAAAAGGCATCCAAATTGGAAAGGAAGAATGAAAATTGTCACTTTTTGCAGATGACATGATTCTTTATACAGAAAACTCAAAAGACTTCACACACACACACACACAACAACAACAACCACAACAACCATTAAAAGCAATAAACAAATACAGTAAAATTGCAAGATACAAAATCAATACACACAAATCCATTGCATTCCTAAATAAAATTTCAGGAAAAAAGCATGGAAAGACAATTCCTTTTGCAATTGCAACAAGAAGAATAAAATATCAAGGAATAAACTCACCAAAGATGTGAAAGACCTACATACTGAAAAGTACAAAGCGTCATTGAAAGAGAAAGAAAGTGGAAAGAGATCCCATGTTCGTGAAATTAAAAAATCAACATATTTAAAATAACTATATTACCAATAGCAATAGATAAAGTAATGCAATCCCCATCTCAATTCCAGTGGCATTTTGTAAAGATATGGAATAAAAAAAAATCATGAAATTTGTATGGAACTACAAAAGATGCCAAATAGTGAAAGCAATCCTGAGAAAAATTAATGAAGCCAGAGATATCACACTACTTCACTTCAGATTATCCTATAAATCCACAATAATCAAAACAGTATTGTATTGGCAGAAAAACAGACACACAGAATAATGGAACATAAATAAAACCACATATATATGAGCATATAAATTTCAATAAAGGAACCGAAAGCCTGCATTAAAAGAAAGCCTCTTCAAAAAACAGAGCTGGGAAAATAGGAAAGACACGTGCAAAAAAAGAGGAAGAAAAAGAAAGGAAAGAAAGAAAGAGAGAGAGAGAGAGAGAGAGAGAGAGAGAGAGAGAGAGAGAGAGA